AAAATTTCATTTTAAAACTTTTAGAAACTTTTGTAGAATTCAAAAGATTTTTGAAAACTTTCATTTGAAATAGAATTTATGTGGATTTAGTGCAATATTGTGAAATTATCACGGTGGTGGTTCTCCCAATTCCCCCTCTCCTTCTCTTTCCCCCAAATAATTTTTTTTTTTAAAGAACAAAAATTTAAGTCCTTAATTAAATAAATAATTATTATTATACATATAAAAAATAAATTTAATATTCGGTATTATTAATATAATATGCCTTTAAAGAATAGATAAAAAATATATATTTAAATTTAATTATAAATTAGTCTATATAAAATTTTATAATTTAATTAAAAATAGATATTTTTCAGAAAAATAAATGAAAAAAGAAAAAAAAATTATAAAAATACAATTTAATTTTTTCATAGAAAATGGAAATTGTTGACTCCAAAAAATGTGCCAACAGAATCTCCGTCACGTCCCCTCCACGTGGACATTACTTGCACACTGAACACACCGTTAAGAAGCAAAGGCCGTCGGTCAAGAAAAAGGTCCGGCGATCGTTTGCACTCCGACAGTCAAGTCAACGGTCGAACAAAAGAGAAAAAATGAGTACAAGAGGCGGGAGAGAGGAAGTAAATAGGGTTAGAGAACATACCTTAATTAAAATGGATCACACACATATATAAAAACAAATGGGCCGAATGGGTAATAGGCCGAATGGGTAATAGGCCGATGTCCAAACCCAATAGAAAATATTTTATGGATATAACAGAAATAAATAATAAGAGAGAGAAAGAAAAATTGAAACTAATACAATCAATAGAGAAATAAATAAACTTTAATCACAACTCTAATGTTTGAAGAAGGGAAAATGAAAGAGAAATATTGAAAAAAAAAAATACATATTAATTTGATTTGAGTACTTTCTGTTTAAAAGTTAGTATCATTAAGACTTTTATAAAAGTCTCTAAAAATTATAAAAATTTGAATACCCTAAGAATTATAGAGACTTCTAAAAAAATTTAATTGAATACACGACTTTTAGAAACTTTTTAAAAGTTTATAAAAGCCTCATGAGCCATAAATGATTGGACATCTTAAGTATAACTCNNNTGATTGGACATCTTAAGTATAACTCTTATATTTTCGTTGAAGATTTCTAATCATTTAAAAATATTTAATGAACACTTAAACTCGTGTTAAACACTAAGGAAGTTAAATATTATAATTTGCAAATTAAATACATAAATTATTATCTCATCCGTTATCGATACAAATTAGAGCTTTTAGACACTTTGAGGGAATAAAAAATATTCACCATTTGATGGAGTCTTGACATCTAACATAACACTCGATAAGAAATTTTCACCATGGATTAAGGCCATGTTTGAGCCACATTATTTTTTTCATTTTCATTATTATACTCATTTTTAACTACACATTCTTTAATAAAATAATATTTTCCATCACATCAATAACCTTTCTTTCTTTTTTAACAACATATTCCCTATCATATCAACAGTAAAAATGTATTCTTTTTCAAAAAATGTACACCAAACGGGGTATAAATAATATATTCTTCCCTTTCAAATTGCGAGGGAAAAATCCTAAACGGTTAGACGTAATTTCAACGGCCACTTCACATCAAATAGAATGGACACGCCTCTTTGGCGCGAGACAGCAATAGGAAAAAAAGAAAATTCTTGAAAACTTGAATGCACAAATTAAAGAACAGTAAAACCAAAATATATTCAAATTTCGTTTCTGGGATTCTTAAACGCTCTGCGATAATGGATGAAAACAGCAATCGGAAACTTCAATCTGATTGGTACTCTCCAACTCGCCTCCACAACAGTCCTGTGGAGTATGATTTTCCAGTATGTAATACTGAAATTTTTCATGATTTTCTGAAGGCGTGTAATTGTTGATTAATTTCATTATTTTTTATTTTTTGAAGGGAGATAGATTTATACCGAATAGGAGCCTGATGGATCTTGATCAAGCCTACAGTTTGTTAACAACTCTGACTCAAAAACCCAGCAAACCCAAGTTTAAAGTCAGTCGATTATTTTGATTTCTTTAGTTTTCTATTTGGAACCTTTTTTTTCTTGAATTATTTTTGTGGGGTTTTTTGTGTCCTTGGAGGTTTGATTGCCGTTCAATAAAGGATGTGTATATAATGCGTAATAAAATTATAAACGATGCTTTATATCTGGGCCTTGGGTTTTTCTTTGATCTTGTTTAGAGATATTTTAATCATTAATAAGAATTGGGATTTCTGATATGGGGATTTTCTTGTATGGATTTCATGGTAGGTTGAATATAGAAGAAAGCTAGAAAATAATCTGAAGTTGGATGTTGAAGGAAGGCCATTTCAAATGCTGGTTTTTAGGGGTAGCCCAAAAATCGAGTAGAAAATCAAACCGGCTAATAGACGAGATGCGACGGAGTGATGAGGAGATCTTGACTCATAAGCCATGTCGACAATTCCCAAAGGTAAAAGATTTGTAGAATATACTTTCGGCTTTCCTTTGTAGTTAATAAAAATTTTTGGTTTGTTTCTGTTTGATTTTGGTAAGTTGATGGAGTCAGTTCTTGTTTGGTAAAGCAAAATTTGAAATAAGACACTGAATTGTTGGATTGTACTCTTTTCCCCTCGACCACCTAAAGTTTCTACTGTACAAAGGACTTGTTAGGGGGCCATTTTCTTGCGAGACAGAAACTGAGAGGCATGAGAATTTGTTGTATCATTCTTCTCTATTATAGTGAAAAGGTTAAAATTTGCAGCATCGAGTAAACATAGATCTCTTATTGATGAACCGCTATGAATCCGTGTGTGCTTTATCATTTCTGGTTGTTCTGTTTTTTATTGCTCTAAGATGTAGGACTAGTGCTTAAATCCATAACTTGAATAACATTTGGTATACATAAGGCTGCTTCATAGATTAACTTAGATCCTAGAATGTTAAATGTACAGTTCTAATACTGGTATGCTATGTTTCGTAGGTCTTGTCAACAAAAGCATTCACATATAACATTGAAATAGCCATTGTGAAAAATATTTGGCAAGAAGAAAATGCATTTAGAAACATAAAAGATATCTATAAAGAGATCAAGCAGACTTATTTGTTAATTACAATGTTTTAATAATCTCTTAAATGTCCTCATGGTAGACCCTTTGCAGAGAGAATCTTGTATTTTGGATGCACCTAATATCGTGAACGATTTCTACCTGAACATCATGGACTGGGGGAAAGCCAACTTTCTTGCAATTGCTTTGGGCTCAAAATTATACTTGTGGAATGCTGATAATCGAAAAACTAAACTATTGTCAGAAGTGGGCAATGGTGACGATTATCCTACTGGTGTAGCTTGGTCGGAAGATGCCAAAACAGTAGCAGCTGGATACCGATGCTCGAAAATATATCTTTGGGATGCCGAGACTCTAAAGATTGTATGACCTTTCAGTCTGACATTTTACATGATCTGAATTGTTAGAGAATGTTTGTCTAAGCTTAAAGAGAAGTAAACAAGTCTCAATTTAAATAAAATAAAGTTATTCATTTCATTACAAGGGAACATTTTAAGCTTAGCCAAACATGGTCAAATTATGCTTTCATACAAGTTATAAATTCGAGCTCTTTATACAGGTGAGATTCCTTACAGGGCATCAGAATAGGGTGGGTTCTGTTGCATGGAGTGGCCAGATTTTGACTTCTGGAAGCTGTGATAATGCTATCATCAATCACGATGGTAATCAAGTTTGATCATTTCTCGCTACTATAATCCAAATAGTAAAC